GTATCGCTGTGGGGGTGGGGGTGACGGAACAGCAACCAAGCTGCAAGCAGCCACTGCCAGGACACAGTGTCCTGCACGGGGCCAGCTGCCAGGAGCTCCCAGCTCACACGCTGCCATGAGCAAGTGACCGGGGAGTGGGGAGAAGGCAGCCCGGTGGGGACACACGGGTGGCTGAGCTGTCCTGAGTGATTGGCCCTGGGGCAGAGAGGCTACTCAGAGGTGTCTGTTGGCATCTTGGGACCCCTGGATGGTGCTGCATGCCCAGTTCCAAGCAAGAAATGCTTCTCAGAGCTCTTTGTTTGCTCTTCATTATTCCTTAAACACAAGGGAGTTGAGATGCCACCAGGGGATGTGCCATCTGCCCAGATGGATGGGTGCTGGTGGGGGAGCGGGGCAGAGGTAGGAGGCAACGGAGTGCTGCAGGACCTGCCCTTACCTTTCTCCAGCCCATATGAGCTCTCTTAAAATGTCAACCTTCATTTCATGGTTCTTGGTTTTAGTTGCAGATATCTAACATTATTTCTGTGCCCTGGCAATTTGACCCTTTCCCTGGGAAGGAGCCGGGTCATAGCCTGAAGGTTACTCGCTTCAGAGAGTGAGCACATGCCAGCAGCCCTGAGACATCTTCCCCCACTCAGAGGTCTGAAACCAGGCTGGCACCTTCCCAAAAGACCCACTCGAGCTCAGCAGCCAGCCCTGGCTTCGGTGCAGTCAGTGAGTGATGTTCAAACCTGGGTTTTGCAGCACAATCCCCTCTGGCCTCCAGCATTATGAAGGTACTTAGATAGGGAAGGGTGGCCTGGCAAACTTCTGTGTGACCGGGATCAAGCTGCACTGGAGGGAAGAGATTGCTATTGCTCCTAGATTTGATGATGCCAAGTCTAGACAGCTGGGATTTATGCTGTATGAGAGGCTTTGACAAGTTATGTAGCAGGAAACATCATTTCACACAAACTGCTTGTTGCAAAAAACTGGAATATGTGGAACTGGGAAAAAACCAGACTGTTTCCTTGTGGTTCGTGTGTAGTACTGATGTAGCTGGGTATGTGTCCTGACCTTTGAGTCCTTCTTAGAGAACAGAACAGCTCTGCCGCAGACCGAGTCCTGGCCGAAGTTGCTAAAACTATGCGAGAGTACCCTGTGGCTTTCAAAGGAGCTCGAATCCTTACAGGAGAGGAGGAGGGGGCTTATGGCTGGATCACCATCAACTACCTGCTGGAGTCCTTCACTAAGGTGGGAGAAGGGTGAAACACACACTCCTTTGCTAATACAGTTTTTCTGATTTTTTCTTAAGCTTGCTTAGCACAGGAGGAAAGGTCTCTGTTAACGGCTTTTGGGGAAGGAGCCAGTTACCCTCTGGCGGCAATTGCCTCTGTAGGCAATACAGTGAAAGAGGAGGGAGAAATCAGGAGTGGGGGTGTCCCTGTTAAGAGCTAAGGGCACATCTCCACACCATGTGGACAACGGGTCCCTTGGGGACAGCGAGGTCGGCCGTGCAGCCCAGCAGGGACGGTTTGCTCCTGCTAGGCTTTGCCTTGCTGCCCTGGGAAGGTCCATCTCCGTGCGGCACTGCGAGGCCCCAGTTGTGGTTCAATGTGCCAGTCTTAAGGAAGCTTGAACCAAACCTCTTTCCTGCCACCCTCTATCCCAGCAGTGCCACAGCTCACAGAGGTGCCAGCACCGTCGGGCTCCTGTGCAGGCTCTTGGAGGATTTCTGTCCTTCCCCTTGCACCGGCACCTCTGCAGCCTGCTCTTCAGGAAGGGCAGCAGCTCTTCAGGAAGGGCAGCCCATCCAAGCCAGGTCCCCACCAGCACTTTGGTCTGGGGACCAGTGACCCAGAGCCATGTGAGCCCACAGCAGGTTGGCACATTTGACCATCAGACAGTTCAATCTCTGTTTTTTCTGGCTCTGACAAATGGCCAGGCCGGTTGGGCAGGGAAGGCAGTGAGGCCTCAGGTACGGAAATAATTGAATTGAATACCCGTTGAATTTAGTAACAAAACCCTATTGACTTCAATGGGATGAGAATTCTGCTCAGGGCAAATAAGCCCAGCTGTGTACTACTCCTCTTCCTTTGCTCAGGGCAAGTAAGCCCAGCTGTGTACTACTCCTCTTCCTCTCCTGTCTCGCCTTGGCAGTACTCCCCCAAAGCACACACGTGGGTTCGTCCAGAGGCGGCCAACTTTTTTGGGGCGCTGGATCTTGGAGGAGCATCCACTCAAATCAGCTTTATGCCCGAAGGTTCAGTGATAAACTGGAATGAAGCCTCCAAGTTCACGCTGTACGGGTATAACTACAACATCTACACACACAGCTACCTCTGTTACGGGCAGAACGAGATGCTGAAGCGACTGGCAAAGGAATTAATTGTGGTGAGGGGGGAACTGGGGGGTAATTGGACTCTGGTCTCATGATACCAACCACAGACTTGTTAATGCATAAAATAAGAACAGGCAATGCTCTTCCAGAGAGGCAACAGCAGGAACTGAGAGCAAGTACAGACTCCTTGGAGCACGGGTAGGCAGATGTGGAGAGGAGCATGGGAAGCGTCAGAAGAGGCGGCTGAGGAGAGATCTTCTGGCTGTACACAGCTGCCTTGCACAGGGTGTAGAAAAGGCAGGACCAGGCTCTTCTCAGAGGTGCAAAGTGACTGGACAAGAGGCAACAGGCACAAGCTGGAACATGCGAATTTCCAACCAGATGCAGGGGAAAAGTATTTCCCAGTAAGAATGGTCAAATATCAGAATAGGGCCCAGAAATGCTGTGGAGTCGCCATCCTTGGAGAAATTCAGAATTTGACGGGACAAGGCTCTGAGCAACCTGATCTAGTTGGTCACACTTTAAGGAGGGGGTTGGCACAGGTACCCCTGTAGCTCCCCTCAACTACTCTGTGACTACATGGACCTGAGAAAAGTGAACCTGAGATCTTTCTCAGGCCATTTTTTGGAAGGGCAGAGGGGACAAAGGTCTTCACGGAGCTGCATCTTATCAGGAGGAGCACCCTTGGCGAGCCAGAAGGGTTTGCTCATGCCGCGCAGCCAGGAAGGTCCAAGGTGGTGTCCCTGGCTGGGGCTGAAGCTAGAGACAGAGCTAGAGCTGGGGTGGAGAGAGCTTTGAGTGCCCCAAACCATGATCCTGCTGGCCAGGGGAGAGAGGTGCTGAGCCCCTGAAATTGGTCTGCCTCCGTGGGAGAGGGAATGAGACAAAGCAGAGCGAGAATTAGCGTTGAGCTCACACTGGGACTGCAGATGGCCAACAAGACCAGGATTAAACAGCAGGAGGGTCTTTCCCTGCTGAGGAGGTGGGAGACGCCTGCACCCGTGGCTTTGGGGGGGGCTCTGGGTGAACCTTGCTGCCCAGCATGGGCAAACCCACCAAGAGGGTTTGGAGGAGGCTGCAGCCTGTGATTTTGCTATTCCCAGGAGTCGTCCTCCAGCACACGAGTCGATCACCCTTGCTACCCAAAAGACTACAATGAAACCGTCTTGCTGTCTTCCTTCCGTACCAGTCCCTGCACCAACCGGAGCGACCCACGCCTGACCCTCGGTGACAGGAACGTGACCCTGGAGGGCAGGGGCAATGCCAGCGGGTGCCTGGCAGCCATCAAGAAGCTGTTCAACTTCTCGGCGTGCGGCCAGAGCCAGGACTGCACCTTTGATGGTGTCTACCAGCCCCGGGTCAGCGGGCAGTTCATTGTAAGGCAAATCTCATCCTCCCGCCTCCCAGACAGAGCATGTCCCGGGTGCTGTGATGTCCCTGTGTGCCCCATGGCACTGTCACCTCCCCGCAGCAGAATGGGGGCAAGAAGCACCCAAATTACCACTGCCCCAGGGCACAACAGGGATTGCTGCCATCTGTTTTTTCAGCCAGCTCTCCAAATGGGACCATGTTAATAAAACAGGTGCTTAGTTGAAAACCAAGTTTTCAGTTAAAAAAAAAAAAAAGCTTAGCCAGCAGCCTTCAGGCAAGGCTCTGCCTGTGCTCGATGTGCTGCTGCAGCCAGCAAGCACCTACACCCCCAGCCCATCACCTCTGCTGGGACATGGACAGCGATGCCCTGGGACTATGCAACGGTGGGACAAACCCAGTGAAGGACAAAGCCCACCTTCTGCTTCGAGGGAGATGGGGGCAGCTGCCTGGGGGGTTTTCCCCACTGTAACTCAATGGTATTTCTGCCTCTTGCCTTTCAGGCCTTCTCTGCCTTTTACTATAACTTCAAGTTTCTCAACCTGACCGAGGGGCAGTCGCTGGCTGCTGTCAAGGAGACCATCGAGCATTTCTGCACAAGAAGCTGGGAAGACGTACGTTCCCCATGATGGGAGGCTGTGGGGAAGTTTCACAAGCAAAGGAGTCCTGGGGGTGGGGAAGAGGAGCGGGGACTCCTACTGGGCAAGGCTCCCTGGTTGCTGAGCTGTGCCCTACACAGCGGAGTCATCCCTGAGCTCTGTGAGGGAGCCAGGACCGTCCTGCACCCACCCTTGGGGGCCCTCCTTACTCATGCAACATTGGGAAAGGGGCACCCAGGGCAGGTGAAGGCAGCAAAATCTCCCCACCAGCACAGGAGCTGGGGCTGGAGGTGGGGCTGGAGCCCTGGAGGATGGTGAGAGGGGAGCCAGCTGCTGGCACCACTCTGGAGATGAGTCAAATGGGGATGGATAAGGCCAAGAGATGTGGTAGGACCACCACGGGGCAGCGAGCAGGGGCCCCTTGCACGAGGAGGCTGAGATGGGAGAATCTGGGGCAGGAGGAGCTCCAATATATCTCGGTTTCCATGTGGAGAGTAAATCCTCCTCAAAGGAGTTGCCCTGTGTGGGCAGGTCCAAAATACCTGCCAAAATACCAGAAAAGACAGGACTCTTTTTGTGGGTGCTGGTGGCTGCGGAGCCATTGGCCCTCGTGCAGCAGTTGTCAGGGCACTGTCCCTGCATGGAAATTGCCTGCAAATAACTTCCCTTCCTCTCCAAACATGTCCCCACCCCAGCTGTCTTCTAGCTACCCCAAAGAGAATCCTGAGCGACTGCCTAAATACTGTGCTAATGCCAACTACATCCTCACACTCCTCCTCGATGCCTACAAGTTCAACGAGACCAGCTGGAACAACATCTTCTTCCAGATGAAGGTAGGCAGCAAACCCAGCCTGCGGGCAGCAGTAGAGGCAGCGCCGGGGAAAAGAGCCAGCTTCCCGCGTCGGGGTGCCGTGAGAGCCACGGTCCAGAAGCCCTGCCTGCCCCACATCCCAGCACGGCACTGCTGCGGGGCCAGCTGCTGCACCCCGTTTGGGCCGTGCAGGAGTAGGTGGCCCTGCGTCGTCGGTGTGCCTTTCCTGCAGGGCTAACTCATTGTCCCCTCTCTCCTCGGGCAGGCGGGGAGCGCCGACGTCGGCTGGATGCTGGGGTACATGCTGAACGTCACCAACATGATCCCGGCGGAGGCTCCAGCGCGGGTGAAGGGGCACATTCCTTCCCTGTGGGCTGCGGCTGTCGCCTTCATCATCCTCACCCTTGCCTTGGGGCTTGCTGCCCTGCTCCTGCTCTTGTGGGTGTAGGAGCCCGGGTGCATTTCAGAGCACAGCAGGAGCACGTTGGGTCTGGAGGGTGGTCTGCATTGCGGTGCCCTGCACTTTGCCAGCAGGACTGGCAGCCTGAGGCTCGTTCAATGATGATGAGCACGTTAACCTCTACAGCACTGAAGAACCAAGGTCTGGCCTCCCACGGGACTGCCCCCAACATGCAGATAGGCACCACGTGAGGTTTCCAGAGGAGCTCCTGTGGAGACCTGCTGGGATCAGCCTACGCGCCACAGGAACCCCAGCCATGCCTATCTGCCTCCTTACGCCTCTATGCCTGTTACAGATCTGGCCTCCATCCCACTGGCTGGCATGTGGGGCCGTGGAGAGCCAGCCTGGCCATGGAAGAGCTCCCCAAATGCCAGACTGTTAGTGCATGGCTGCAGGCACCTGGTGGTAGGGTGCTTCGTGCGATGCTTCGTCTGACCACGGTTGCCAACAGCCAGGCAGGTCCCTGTCAGGTCTGCCAGCGTGAGGGCACGCAAGGCTCTGTGGCACCCCAGCTGGCTCTCCTGAGGGTGTATCGTTTGGGCTCATCTGATGGTCTTGGAGACAGAAGGCAAATTGAGCACCCAAACTCAGAAGTGTGGTCCATGCCTCCCCAGAAGGTCCGTCTCATCTCATCTTCCTTTTCTTCTGGGTTGAAGGGATTGATGTTCCTAAGTGTCCTCCTGGAGACCAGACTGTCCTGCCAGCAGAAGCCTGGACACCGTGGGTGTCAGGCTGAGACTCCAGCAGGCTGCGAGTCCTGCCCTGACTCTGCAGATGTGGATGAGCCAGGTCCTGCCCACAACTGCGCCCTTGCCTTTGCCTTTGGTTTTGCTCATTTGTTATCTGCCCTGTGGATGATTCATTTTGTTATTTGCCTCCCGGCAGCAAGGAGCTGACCTTTGGTGTTTCTGCAGAAAGGCAGGTGTCTCACAGCTCTCGTCATCCAAATAAACATTGTAAAAGTCAGCGAGTGGGGAAATGCCTATTACCTTGCTCCCGAACAGTTATGATTTTATTGTTTCCGTCTCCCACGCAAGGGCTGGTGATGATGACGGGGACTCAGGGGAGAGTCAACATCGCTCAGTGCCATGGGAGATGCCTGTGGAGATCTCGCAGCATCTGCCAGACCTTGGAGAGGAGCCAGCAGGGCATGAGGACAGGCCTTTTCCTTCTGAGAGCCAGGGTGTCTCACCTCACTCCTCTGGCTGCCAGTGGGACTCCCCAAAAATTTAAGGGTGGCCCCAGGAGCTGCCCCTGACATGTCCCAACAGCATTCCCAAATCGCCCTGTGTGCTGGAAGGGGAAGGTGAGATGTCTGCCTGGCAGAGACACAGGGTGCAGCCAGACCGGAGAGGAACTTCATGCAGGAGAGCAGGGGGCTGCTGCCATCCCCCACCTCACAGGGCTTCCCAGTCCTGGGCAGAGCCCGAGCCCCATCTACTGGGCAGCTTCCCCCCATAGCCCCATTGCCACTGCCCCTCTGGCTGGCGCAGAATAGAACAGAACAGAACAGAATAGAACAGAATATTTTCAGTTGGAGGGACCTACAATGATTATCTGGTCCAACTGCCTGACCACTTCAGCACTGACCAAAAGTTAAAGCATGTTATTAAGGCCTCTGAACCCCTTACAGGCTTGGGGCATCGACCACCTCTCTAGGAAGCCTGTTCCAGTGTTTGACCACCTTCTCGGTGGCCATGGGCGATGCAGGCTCTTGTCCCAGGATGGGGCAGGACACATCCACCCCACATCGGGTATCTGCTGCAGGCTGTAACCAGCCTCGTGATGATCCCATTGCTGCCAGACACACCTTTTCTCTTCCCTGACCCACTGTTCCCACCATCTCCAGCCGCCCCACATCACCGTAGTCCCCACACCCCCAGTGCTGAGCCCCTGCCCCACATGGCCATCCCCTCCCTTCTAGAGCATCTCCAGCCAGCAGCGAGGGGAAGGGAAAACCAGGCAGCACACAGCTACAGGGAGGACTTTTTAAAGCCTGTGCCGGTTCCAGCTCACCAGGCCGGGACACAGGTGCCCCACATTACAAGTTCACAGCTCCTGGACACGTGGGGGCGATTCCCCAGTCTGCAGCTGCTCGCACAAGCGTGGCAGAAGGACTCGTTGGATTGCTCGCACAAGCGTGGCAGAAGGACTCCTTGGCTTCGGCAGCCTCTGGAGCCAGCGCTGCTAGAGACGCTCATAACCAGAGTTTTTCTGGCAGCATATGACTGTGAGCAGGCAGAAGATGAGGATGAGCATGATGGCCAGTAAAACTGTGGCTGCTATCCAGTTGCTTCTCTGGAGCCCTATGACCCTCTGGGGAGTCTCCGAGGGAATCATGTTGGTGAGGTTGAGCATGTAGCCCAGAGTCCATCCCACGTCTACATTAGCGACCTGTGCCGACAGAGAAGGAAGAGGGATGTGAAAGGCTGCAAAGTACCATGCAAGCCGGAGAGCTAGAGAAGACATTTGCTGTTGCACCCCCAGGTCCTGCTCCACAGCCGCTGTATCTGTGCACGCCTTGGGCTGCAGATACCCTGTTAGTGAGACAAACTGGGGGAGAGCACAAATGGCCCAGGCCAGATGCCCCAGCAGGTGCCTGTGGGTGTAACTCTAGGGCTGCCCTGGGCACGGGCAGTGGACCGTGCTGCCCCGTTATCCCCTGCTCCCCCATCCAGGCAGGGCAGGGGCAGCGGCAGGGTGGGCACAAGCAATTTCCCGGCACAAAGCGTGGAAGCTCGGGGCTGCCGGGCGCTTTTCTACCTGCCGGATGAAGTGGATGTTAAGCCACGTTGTGCGGTTGAATTTGTAGCCTTGCAGGAGAAGGGTGAGGGCATAGGAGCTGGCTGCGCAGGCATCACGGAGGTGGGTCCTGTTCATGATGGGGAACTCCTTCTGCACCTGCAGAGGTGGAAGAGCTGGGGGGGGGCTGCCAGCACAGAGCAGTGCTCGGTGCACCCACACTGCAGCTGGGAGCAAAGACCTGGGAGTGCCTGGGTTTGGGGAGCAAGGAGGACTGCAGGCTGCTCTCCCACCTCCTTCCCTGTCCAGAGATCTTTGTGCTCCTCCCAGCTCCCTCCAGCTGCCGTCTGCGCAGCAGAGAATGGGCTGCAGCTGAGCCCGCAGGCTGCCCAGCACCCAGGCGAGATGCAGGAGGGGCTGGCTTCTCCTAGGCAGGATCTCACCTTCTCCCAGCTGCGGCTGCAGAATTGCCTGATGGTGGCATTGACTGAGCTCAGGGACTGCCCTCCAGTCAGGTTCAGAAAGTGAAGGTTGTGATAAAACCCTGAAAAGGCCTGTGGGTGTTTAAGACCAAAGGCAGCAGGTTAGTGAAGCACCCAGGCTACTGCCACCCCCCTCCCCTCCCTCCGGGTGCTCTGCAGGGGTCCCTGAGGCCACCTCTCAGCACCGCAGGGTGATGCCTGCCAACCCGCTGGGAGGGAGCCCTGGGACTGCTCCCCACACCGAAAGAGATTGGTGCTGTGACAAGAGAGGTCTGGGTCTGCGTGGCACGCTGGTGAGCACCCTGCGTGTCTCCATGCATCGGGCACATCCCAGCTTTCAGGGCTGGCACTATTCA